GTTAAACAGTATTTAACGCAGGTTTAACTTTATAAATTAACCATACCTAAAATTAACCACATTTTTGCCAGAAAACAAAACAAAAAATATAGGTTAACGAGGGTTTTCCTCGTTAAGTAATGACTAAAACGCAAATCTTGAAACACAGAATAATCAGTTTAATGGGGGAGTAAGACCCGTGAACTGAACCTTAATAGTTTACCCCACTAATGGGGTTTTAATTACCTTGCCAAGTATTTAGTTTATGATCTAATGGGGGTTGAGGGGGTGATACCCTTATTAATCTTGTACTCTAAGGGGTAATGGGTTTATCATTTCAATAATGGGTTTATTATTCTCAAATGGGTTCATTATTCTCATAATGGGTTCATTATTCTCGTAATGGGTTCATCATTCTCATAATGGGTTCATTATTCTCATAATGGGTTCATTATTCTCATAAGGGGTTCATTATTCTCATAATGGGTTCATTATTCTCATAATGGGTTCATTATTCTCATACTGTGTTCATTATTCTCATAATGGGTTCATTATTCTCATAATGGGTTCATTATTATCATAATGGGTTCATTATTCTCATAATGGGTTCATCATTCTCATAATAATCCTGTACCCTAATAGGGTTAAGGGGATGATTCTCCTATTAACCTTGTTATCTAATGGGTTCTGGATTAATCATTCTCAACCCCTACACCTAATGGTTAATAATTTTATCATGCTAGATATAATGTCATCATTCCTTATTAAGTGGATAATGAAAAAAAAAACGATTTTGTGACCCACAAACTTTTTCTGATAAATATTAAATATTAAATATTAAATTCCAATATTTAAAGTCACTTTTATTTCTCGTTCGTAAAAAGTTGATATTAAATGATAGAAATTTTCTGTGACAGGGACATGTGAGGAATAGGAAGGTTTGGCAGGGAGGGTAAGGGAAGGTAGGGAGAAGGCAGGGAGGAATGAGAAAGTAGGGAGGAGAGAGAAGACAGGAAGGAAGAGGGCAGGCAGAGAAAAGTCATGGTGGAGGTAGAAAGAAGTCATGTAGAAGGGTTTGAGAAGGCAGGAAAAAAGTAAAAAGAAAGCAAGAGGAAGCAGGGAGAAAACAAGGAAAAACAGGAAGAAAGCAAGGAAAAAGCAGGGAGAAAACAAGGAGAAAATAGGGAGAAAGCAGCAGAAAGCAAGGAGAAAAGGAGGGAGACAGTGAGGAAAAGCAGGGAGAAAGCAAGGAAAAGGCAAGGAGAAAGCAGGGAGAAAGCAGGATGAAAGCAGGGAGAAAGCACGAAGAAAGCAGGGAGAAAGCAGAGAGAAAGCAGAGAGAAAGCAGAGAGAAAGCAGAGAGAAAGCAGAGAGAAAGCAGAGAGAAAGCAGAGAGAAAGCAGACCTGTGAAGCCAGTTGCAATCTTTGTGAATGAAAGCCGGTGTTTACTGTTTGTACACAGAGGAGGAGAGAGGAGGGAGGAAGAGGGGAAAAATGAGACAGAGGGGAAAGGGGAAACAATCCTGAATAAAGGGGAAATCATGAGAGAATTTCAGATAATAACAGAGGGGAAGGGCAGCACGGTGGAGAAAAATCTTAGCATGGGGTCAACGTTTCGCTCTCTCTCCTTAGAGATCTACACAGGGCGAAAGTTCGTTGCAATAAACACTTGTCTTTGCCCCTGTGTCGTCTAAATGGAGGTGTGTTGTCTGGTCTCCTGGCTTTCCTCGTATCAAACTCCTTCAGTAGTGAAAAATGGTGCGTGATACAGACAAGATGTGGAAAAAAGGCATTTATGTACAGTTCAGGACATTTATTAAAAGGAAACGTTTCGCCACGAGGGGAGCCTTCAGTCCCAATCATCAGGACTGAAAAAGCCAACACTGGTGAAACTGTACGTAAGTGTCCTTTTTTCTTTTGTAATCCTCGTCACCTTCATTTTTGTGTTTCGTTCATGTTTTCTCGCACGTTTCGATCTGTTCTGACTGAAGAGGTTTCCGATAACTCTCTCTCTCTCCTTTCCTTCGTTAAACATTTCGTTATATCGTGTGTTGTGTTCTACATATACACCACTGTGTTATTCCCCCTCAGTGTTCCTGGTTCCTCATTGTCCTCTGCTACCTGGTATGATTGTGTGGCATCTTTGGTTCGGTTTTCGCTTCTGTTGTGTTATTTTTTCCACACTATCTCCATTAACTTCTCCTTTCTTATTTATCCGCTTTCGTTGCTGATTTTCTCGTTTTTTCGCAGTCTAAAATTGTTTTTCCCGTCTATATTTTCTTCCAAGCTTTCTTCAACCTCCTCTTTGATCTCTCGTATTCATGATTGATTCGTGTTTTTTATGGTTTCTTTGACCTCTCTACCTTCCTGATTTCCCAATGTTATTTCTTGTTCCTTTGACCTCTCTACGTTCTTGATTGTTCCATGGTATTTCTTGTTCCTTTGAACTCTCTACGTTCCTGATTGTTCCATGGTATTTCTTGTTCCTTTGAACTCTCTACGTTCCTGATTGTTCCATGGTATTTCTTGTTCCTTTGACCTCTCTACCTTCCTGATTTCCCAATGTTATTTCTTGTTCCTTTGACCTCTCTACGTTCCTGATTGTTCCATGGTATTTCATGTTCCTGCGACCTCTCTGCATTCCTTATTTTCCCACGTTTTTTCTTGTTCCTGTGACCTCTCTACATTCCTGTCTCTACATTCTCTTTACAT